TGGCTATAGCGTCCTCTGTGGATCTATTAGTTCTCTATGCAAACTGATGTTTATCAAATGTATGTGGAAGGCAGGAAATGATGTGCCTACAGACCAATTTTTCAAAGCACTTCATGATGATAGGCGTGAGTGCCACTGATCTGTAGTGGCTGAGGTTGTTAATAGGGAACTTCTTTGGCAGCGGAACAATGATGGAAGCCTTCAGACAGGATGGAATAGTGGAAAAATGAAGGAAAAAGAAGGGAAATATTACCTTAAGAGGATTTTTTTCCATGTAAGCTTAAGCAGTAAAAACACACCTAGCTGACATCTTTTTTCTAGTGTTTTCTCATGATTTTGCATCATCTCCTCCAACGATCTTGGAGGAAATTCAGGTAACTGGCAATGACTGGTAACACAGACAAGTCAGACAAGACAGTGATTGCTAACTGTGACAGCCAATTTCGTGGTTCAAACTCAAGACTAGATGGAAAGAACTTCTCTGCTGTTGGAGAATAAGCATCTAATATTTGTCCAAAAAAGCAAGACAATAACCCAACTTTTCTCTTTCACCTTAGATCAGCTATGGGGTCATCAGCCACATTCCTGAGCAAAAACATCATTTCCCTTTTTTCTACCGGATAAGTCCAAAACAAGAGCCGCCTCACTTGGCCATTGTCAAGCTGCTCCTGCATTTCCGATGTACATGGATCGGCCTCACTGCTCCAGACAATGAAAGTGGAGAAAAGTTCAGAAGAAACTTTGAGCTTGTGGCCATCAAGAAAGGGGTTTGTGTTGCTTTCTCAGAAATAATTCCACTGTTGGATAAAGTGGAAAAAAAAGGCAACATTTCTCATTTTAGCAACAGTCAAGTAAAAATTATTGTTTGTCAGTTGGACTTTCAGGCCACATTAATGTTAACAATGCTAATACTACAAATTGAAAAAGCTAAAAGAGCGTTTGGGGAGAAAGTGTGGATTGCAACAACTTTGCCAGACATATCTGTGAGATTTTTTTATAGAATGATTGATCTCCATCATAAACATCTTTTGTTATCTTTCTTAACTCTGGCAAACAAAAGGACACAAAATTATGATTTTAATTCCTATTTCTCTGCTTGTGAGAAGTTTGGGAAGACAGCATTTCAGTGTTACTCTTCACCCCCTGTTTTATCTAAGAAAGTCTGGAAAAGATGCACAGAAACAGAGAAGTGGGAAATGCCACCCCATGATGTGGTTGCAAGAATCCTGTCTGAGGATGGCTCCAGTATTTCCACTTCAGTCCAGGCTGTGGCCAGAGTCCGCAGTGCTGCCTATTCCTCCCACCTGAGTCAGAGGAGAATCAGGGTTGGAGACCATCTCATACCGCAGGTGGTACAGCTGTGCCACTTAATTTTTTTTTCTGAATTTCTGCTAATGATCACCTTTAAATTCCTTAGTATTTGTTAGAAATGGGTAGGGTTGAAAATGGGGTGGGATATTCCCCATAGCAATTGCCCAAGTTGGAGTGTTTGTTCTGGGCAAATGTGGAAGCTTGGAGAGAAAGAAGAAGAGAGCAATTCTGTTGCTAGATCTTCCAAAGTTAGTAGTTGTGCCGGTTTGGGAAGCTGGGAGAACAAAGTTATAAGAGAAAGGCTCTTTCCCCATTTGCAGAATAAATCAGCACCAGAATGTTACAGAAACCATCCATTTTCTTAATCATCCAGCATTGCCTGATTTAGCCTCTGGACCAGGGAATTTTTTCT